ATTATTATTATTATTATTGATTTGTCACAAAAAATGATGACAATCATGTTATTTGACTTGTGCAACTTGTGTCTTTTTACTGCTCCAAGCTCAATTTTTTTTAAAGTTTCCATAGTTACCAAAAATCTCAAAATCATAAAATGGTCACCAAAGGTGAGAGGTTAGTCCCCAGAAGAACATACAAGACAAAAATGAACCAAGATTAAACAACAGTACATGAGGTGTTTTACTGCTTTTTAAAATTTTATTTTTGGAGCATCAATGCAATGTTAGGAAAAATTGCCAAAATTGTTTTATACTTACCTTGGCAACTAAAATGGTAGCAGCTTGGAGCACTGTTGTCAAATGACTGTATTATTTTTGTTAATATTGATACAAATTATTATTATTATTTTTATTTTTCCAGGTTATATTCCATGGTGGACCTACAACAGCAGCTGCGCAAAGTATGTTTGACTTTGAAATGACAACATCACTTATATCAATGTCCTAATTGTGGAATACACATTACATGTACCAGTTATATTTTGGACAGTCCAGAAATAGACAGATGGGAATGGAAAAATACAGTAAACAATTGGATGGATAATTGATAGTCTTATTTATGGTTTTTCTTGTTGTTCAGTGCATGTCGGTGCAGATATTACTGAAATCCATGCTAAACATGGCTTCAGGTTTGTGGACCCCTATGAAAAGAAGACCATCCTGAACTTGAATGGAAGTGTGTGGTACATAAATCCAGCCTCCATAAATGCTTTCACAGTTGCTGGAGATGCATTGGTTACCCATCGGGTAAGCCAACAAATACCTTTAGAAACTCATTTAGTAAAGCTATGTCATGAATTTATAAAACTACATGACTTGTTGTTCAGTTACTGTTTTGGGAGAAAGTAATACACCGAATGCAAATATGGCATCCAATTTGAATTGCCATTGTTCTGAACTGACTAGCCTCGTCTTCACGTGGAAACACAAAAGGATTATTACATTGTGTGAGAGCCTAGTCAGTCCAGATCAATGGCAACTCAAATTGGACACCATATTTGCATTCAGTGTATGGCTTCCCTGAAAAAGAGAGAAATGAAATATGTATTGCAACACAAATGCAGCAACCACTTAGAATTCTTAATTTATGTTTTGGCAATAAGTGACAACTCTCACAATTTTAGTGAACAGTGTACACTTGACAGGAGATTTTAGTGTCTGTTATGGGGAACCTTTGATATATGTCATTTATTTTTGTTGTTATTTGTTTTTATTAACTTAAAGACTTATGTTTCAAAATTCTACAGGTCGAGATTATTGCTCGACTAGTACTTGACGCATGCGCACAACCATAGCAAACTGAGATTTGGCTGCACGAATGGGAAAGGCCTGACGTAGTTTTTTTTCGTGTGCGTGAGGTACTGGTATAGCCGCATTCTCGATCCGAAAGGTTATGGAAGGCTTTGTAGTGACGAGTTCGCCAACCATGAGACGAATATCAAAGAGGACTGTGGGATAGAGAATTGCCTGACCGAGGCTATTTTAAGGGGTTGGAGTGAGTCATCGTTAAGTTTTAATTTCAAAACATATGCACTATTAGCTTGTTTTACGAGGATTTGTCAGAACTTAATCAAGTGTATGCTTTGTTACTGTTATGAAGGTTGAGTATTAGTCAACCGGATGTCTCTGTAACTATCAATCCTTAAGGTGTTTAGTGTTCTGTGGTGTTTTAAGTTTGTATTCCACAGATCTGCGACAGTATACGTTGATATTTAGAGGTCTCAAGAGACAGAACCAATGTATGCTTTATTGCAGTTGGGAAGGTTGGGAATTAGCCAACCGGATGTTCCTGTAATTGTCAAGCCTACGGTTGTTCAGTATTCTGTGGCGTTTTATCAAAGATTGTGTGAATTAGAAGGCAGTGTGGTCGAGTGGTCAGCGTGTTGGACTTGCAATCCGCCGCTCCCGGGTTCAAGTCCCGCCCTGGCCACTACCTGGATTTGATTCACGGTAGCTCCGAGTTTCAAATCCTCGGCCATGCTTGTAATATAGCCAACTGGTTTGCCTTCGGCCAGTTGGGATTCTTAATAATGTTATTTTCAATTTGAATTATTTGTTTCAGTTGTTTGGTGGATAACCTGTAAACTAGTTTCTAGCCAAGTGTTTCTCCACGTTAAAAACTGTTTATTTTATATATTACTTTTATTAATGAGCAGCTGTATGCTCGACAGCATACGAAAAAACAACAGTAGCACCAACTGAGAAAGAAACAACAGCTGCACCAACTACAAAAGAAACAACAGTTGCACCAACTGTGAAAGAAACAACGGCTGTACCAACTGAGGAAGTGACACTGCTTTTGAAAAAACTTTGCTGCAGATAACCATCGCTTATCAGCTGAGATTTTGGAGTATTTAGAGAGTGACTTGTTAAAGCAATAAATGCATTTTATTTGGGTTTAATGTAAAAGGAGTCTTTCGGTTTTCCTACGATGCTATCAGTTAAAGTAAGGCAACAAACTCTTCATATAATTGTGTCGAAAGCTTTTTATCCAGGAATCCTGACAAAAAAGTTGTTTGCCCAAAAAACTCCATGGGAAAAACTTGCATTTTTGTGGTGATATTTGACGAACCGTCAAGCACAGCTGTAAATTACATGCCCAAATAACTCACAGATGTAATGGCTGGCTCTCGTAAGATTGAAAATTGGTTTCGAAGAAACTCTCGCCTCTTTGCAGACTCGCCAGGCGCTCAGATATGGGAGGGGAGAGAAAGTTTGGTAACTGATTAAAAAAAAGAAGCCATAAGTAGGCATGGATATGGGAAAAACAATGTAAGGCTGAAATGGGTTTCAGTTAAGCATTCGTAAAATCATAGGCTCAATCCCTTTTTGATTTCTCGATTTCAAGTGTATTGCAACTTTTCAATTTCTAGTTTTTCTGTTGCTTTGGAAACATGCATTTCAGAGCTTGAAACCAAAACACTCCATGACCAAGTGGGCCCTTTGAAGGTTGGAGTGAAGGATTGTTTTTTTTAACCAACAAGAAATCTTTGACGCAAGAGAAACTGTATTTCGGGATAAAGTGTTCTTGAAAAAAGGGAAATTGTCGGGGCTTATGTTTCACGGGATCCGGGCCCATGCTTCCTTGAGTACA